TGAGGGACAGTGGGTATAATGGTTTGGACATGTCCATTTGAGGGACAGTGGGTATAATGGTTTGGACATGTCCATTTGAGGGACAGTGGGTATAATGGTTTGGACATGTCCAAAGGAGGGACAGTGGGTATAATGGTTTGGACATGTCCAGAGGAGGGACAGTGGGTATAATGGTTTGGACACGTCCAAAGGAGGGACAGTGGGTATAATGGTTTGGACATGTCCAGAGGAGGGACAGTGGGTATAATGGTTTTGACATGTCCAAAGGAGGGACAGTGGGTATAATGGTTTGGACATGTCCAAAGGAGGGACAGTGGGTATAATGGTTTGGACATGTCCAGAAGAGGGACAGTGGGTATATTGGTTTGGACATGTCCAGAGGAGGGACAGTGGGTATATTGGTTTGGACATGTCCAGAGGAGGGACAGTGGGTATATTGGTTTGGACATGTCCAGAGGAGGGACAGATGGTATATTGGTTTGGACATGTCCAAAAGGTAACACCTCACACTGTGTTGTAGTCACATAAGTCTTGTCCTGATGGTGGTCTTTGTCCCCTGTCTCACAGGAATGGTCCAGAAGTTGGACCAGAAACTCCCGGTGGCCAACGAGTACCTCCTGCTGTCAGGAGGTGTTCGGGAAGGCGTGGTGGACATGGACCTAGACGATCTGAGTGTCTACGCCCGGGGGACAGACTACGACATGGACTTCACCCTCTTGGTCCCGGCGCTCAAACTCCACGACCGCAACCAGCCCGTGACCCTGGACATGAGGCACTCGGCGCTCGGCCACTCCTGGCTCAGCCTCCGTCTTTTTGACGAAGGGACCATCAACAAGTGGAAGGACTGTTGCACCATCGTGGACCACATCAGCGGGACCACCAACTACTTCTTCTCCCCCACCCTGGTGGCGGACTGGTTCTACCAGTCCATCTCCCTGGTGCTGCTGGAGGTGCAGAAGAAGCCCCAGAGAGGGACGCCCAGGGTGGAGAAGGTGGAGCGCAACGGGACCATCATCTCCGTCATCCTGGGCGTGGGCAGCAGCAGGATGCTCTACGACATCGTCCCTGTGGTGTCCTTCAAGGGCTGGCCCGCCGTGGCTCAGAGCTGGCTCATGGAGAACCACTTCTGGGACGGAAAGATCACGGAGGAGGAGGTGATCAGCGGTTTCTACCTGGTCCCCGCCTGCTCCCACAAGGGCCGCAAGGAGAACGAGTGGCGCCTGTCGTTCGCCCGCAGCGAGGTGCAGCTGAAGAAGTGCATCTCGTCCAGCCTCATGCAGGCGTACCAGGCCTGCAAGGCCATCATCATCAAGCTGCTGTCCCGCCCCAAAGCCATCAGCCCCTACCACCTGCGCAGCATCATGCTGTGGGCCTGCGACCGCCTGCCSGCCACCTACCTGGGCCAGGATGACCTGTCCGCCCACTTCCTGCTGGGCCTGATCGACGACCTGCAGCACTGCCTGGTCAACAAGACGTGCCCCAACTACTTCATCCCTCAGTGCAACATGCTGGAGCACCTGTCGGACGAGACGGCCGTGCTGCACGCCCGCAAACTGTCCTCGGTGCGCTCCGACCCCGCCGAGCACCTGCGCAGCACCATMGAGCACGCCAAGGCCGCCAACAGGCTGACCGTGGAGCTGCAGTGGCGAGGCAGCTCCAACAGCCTGCCGTCGCCGCAGTCCGACGCCGGTGGGGACAGCCAGCCCGACGACCGGCTGGCCAAGAAGCTCCAGCAGCTCGTCACCGAGAACCCCGGCAAGTCCATCTCCGTCTTCATCAACCCGGACGACGTCACGCGGCCGCACTTCCGCATCGACGACAAGTTCTTCTGAGACTGATGGACGCTCCCCGGGTGCTGCTCCCCCCGAGCCCCTCCCCCCGAGTCCCTCTCTCGGTGCCGCTCCCCACTCCGAGCCCACTGCCTTTCAGACTTTACTCTTTAGGTTTTTCAGTTTCCTGCCACAGAGTGAGGTGATGCTGTCGTCGTCTGCCACAGTCTTTCTTTGGTCGTGTTCTTTTTGTATTCCTGTGCCCCCTCCCTCCTCTCACTGTGTGCCCTGTGCTTTCTACCTGCTCAATGCCTTTAAACTCACCGCTGAGTAGCAGCAGGTGGTCTGGATCCGAGGACAGACCCAAACCTGTCCTCAGATGGAACTGCTGGTCCACTAACACTTCAATGATCAGGGACCCTGGACACCAAACCAAACCCATCAACTCCTGAAGAGACCAGTTTCAGCCATGAACCCACGAGGCTAAAGGCTTCTTTAATGTCTGAAGTCCAGTTTCACACATCTGGATCCAGGTTTCACACATCTGGATCCAGGTTTCACACATCTGGANGTTTCACACATCTGGATCCAGGTTTCACACATCTGGATCCAGGTTTCACACATCTGGACCTCTACCAGACTTGTAAGGTTCAGGAGTTGGTGTGACGGTTCAGAGCCAGGGGTGGACCCAGCAGAGTTCTGTCAGAAGGTGGATTTGGTTCCTCCGGGGACTGTCTTAGTCCTGCTAGACGACGACGAYGACGATGATGATGATGATGATTATGATGATGATACTAACGTCTTACAAACTGTAAATAGTAAACGGACTCTTGAGCTACTTTTTGTCTGATTTTGCACAGAATGTAAAAATCCTCACTTCTTCTGATCTTAAGGTGATTTATTGTTCGTGGTCCTGAAGGTCCGGCTCTGTGGACACTGGAGGGGACACTGACCTGATGGTCTGGTTCACCTGTGTGGGTTTGAATGTAGAGGACCTCAGAGACAAATGTTGGACAGCAGGTTTTACTCACAGTTTGTTTAAAAATAAAAATTTGAACCTGAAACCAGTTCTTAAATGTCCTCTTGGACCAGGTTTTGTCTTGTCTGACCTTCACACTTCTCTCCAGAAGACTCTTGTCTCTGTGGATGGCTGGAAGGGTTTGGAGCTTCTTTCTGGGTCCTCTGAGTCCATGGTGATGTAGAACTGACCTAACTAGGGACAGGGACACTGGTGGACTGAACCACTGTCCTTTCTTCTGAGGGGGACAGGTTAGTGTCTCTGCTGTTGTAGAACCTCTGTCAGGTTTAGAGTCACAGATCATTCCTGTCCACAAACTTAGTTCCTCTCAGATGTCTTCATGACGTCCACTGATGTCTTTAGGATGTCTCAGATGCTTCTTTGTTTCAGTGCTGGACATCTGACCTGCTCTGGAGGACAGTTCACCTGTAGGACAGTTTGGCTCATTAGCTGGTCTTTGGTCTTCTGGGGAGTCTCAGCTGGTCTTTGGTCTTCTGGGGAGTCTCAGCTGGTCTTTGGTCTTCTGGGGAGTCTCAGCTGGTCTTTGGTCTTCTGAGGAGTCTCAGCTGGTCTTTGGTCATGTGGGGAGTCTCAGCTGGTCTTTGGTCTTCTGGGGAGTCTCAACTGGTCTTTGGTCTTGTGGGGAGTCTCAGCTGGTCTTTGGTCTTCTGGGGAGTCTCAGCTGGTCTTTGGTCTTGTGGGGAGTCTCAGCTGGTCTTTGGTCTTGTGGGGAATCTCAGCTGGTTTTTGGTCTTCTGGGGAGTCTCAGCTGGTCGTTGGTCTTTTGGGGAGTCTCAGCTGGTCGTTGGTCTTGTGGTGAGTCTCAGCTGGTCTTTGGTCTTCTGGGGAGTCTCAGCTAGTCTTTGGTCTTGTGGGGAGTCTCAGCTGGTCTTTGGTCTTGTGGGGAGTCTCAG